TTGCTCGGTGATTCCTGGCTTTTGCTCGGAGTTCGTTTACAACAAGCATCTCTCTTATGATCCACATATAGTTGTATATTCGTGAATTCTGCCTTACATTTTCCGCACACGTGTAAATCAAGCTCCTCTTCACCTGCTGTCGGCAGCAATGTTTAGCACAAAGAAAATTAGTTTACTCAGTTGAAATGTGCTGATGGCAGGGAGAACAGTTTCGAACTGATAGAGCTATCCAGTATAAATAAAGTTAGTTTAGTTTAGGTTTGCTCTTGTAGTAACACTGGATCAATAAGAGATGATTCTTACTGGACCTCTAGGAAGAACAGTTTAATAGAACTGATAGAGCCATCAAGTATAAATAAATTTAATTTACGTTTCCTCCTGTTGGAACAATTGGTAGCTCTTTCAATACTAACAACACAAGAGCAACAAATGTTCTATATAACTTACATTCTTCAGTTTCCATAGCCTCAGCAGTCGCCATAACCTCAGCGTTAGGATGCATGGCTGCACTCAAAGGCGCTTTATCTAACAACTGCTCGTCAGACATCACATATGTTTCCTCTTCGGTCGTCATCTAAATTATTTTGATTAAACGTAGGCTTCTATGTAAATAACCTCAAGACAAAATATATTGGTTCAACCAGAAGCAAGATGCTCGAAAGGCCATCGTTTTATCAGGTGAGCAGATGAAATTATATTATATTTCAAAATGAAATTATAGCTCATTAACCCATTGAGTGGCAGCACTCTCCCCCTGATGAGTAAAATCGTCTGGCGTTAAACAGAGTAAAATAATAAAGTAGGGCGCATTGCCACTTAAAGGGTGTAAAATTGGGCTGCCCCTAGAGTAATTCCAATAGGCAACATTGCATTGAAATTATGGCAACATATAGAATCGAAAATAGTGAGATTTGATGCAAACTCTGTCCAAATTGTGAAATCCCAAAAAGAACATGGCACAATTGTGCGAATTGGCAATATTATTTTGAAAATTAATACAACAGGGCTTTAAATATAATATATTCATCACTGCTGAATAGCCCGCAAAGTCCCAACGGCCTGACGATCCCTAAATTTGGGGTGCCCGACAAAGAACTTCGAAATTCGAAGGGGAAAAAATTTTATTCACGTTTTATTTTGCAAAATTGTAAATCTTTCTGCATTTTACTCGTACGAATACGGCATGTTGTCGCCTCTTGTTACGTTGACATATGTAGGCCTTCTTTGTAGTAAAATATAAATGCTGTATGCCTTTTTCTCATCGAAAATTTCAACGCATTTCGCGTTTTCGGGAGGGGCACAACGAAGGCAAAATGGCGATCCGGTAAAATAGACAAGAACCATTGTTTTGAAACCCCCCGTAAAAGCGCTAAAAAACACGATTAAAGCAGCAAGATTCTCGGTCTAAACCGTGGACTCCTTTTGCCTTTCATAAAACTTTATACGAGCTACTTACGATGGCCAAAAGCGCTTTTTAACAAGGGAATATTTCACCGGCGAAGCCTCGATGGATGAACCCTTCTGCGCGAAGCGTTTGCTCGTAAATAACTTGGTGTGCTTCGTAGCGCTGATTTTAACAAGATATTTGGATATATTTTTGAATGTGTAGACTACTGTTAAATACAAGATTATGGTTTAAAATATAAAGAAAAGCGCTGTGGTTTAGTTCTATAAATCGCGCAAAAATACGATCGGTAAATTAAAGTTGCAAAATATTAAATACTTACGTTTGGGCCTTCGATGTTTTGAGTCGGTTCGCCCCACCGGTTTAAAAATTGCCGTAGCGTTTGATCGGCAAGATATTTTCAAAATACTGCACAAATTTGACCAAAAAGCACTAGATCAATGGATCGCGATTGTTGATAACTCCGAAGGTTCGGTGCGATTAAAAATCAAAACGAAAATCGGCAAAATATTGCTTAATAAATTCATAAAAAATATGCTTTGCAAGTGGGGGCAGGAAGCAGCGAAGACGATCTCCTGCATTACCGGGGAAAGTACCTAATCCCGTCACTTGCATCTACGAGTGAACAGCCACGAGGCCACGATGTCTGTAACAAACAGCTTGACAACAAGATGTGTTCTCGCACGGCTTGTTCGCAGTTGTTGACAAGTCTGGAACAAGTTGTTATCGTCTTGTAACAAGGTTGACGAGGCCAACAGACTCGCAACAAGTTGTTCCAACAAGTCCGATATCGTCTGCATGTAACAAGTTGTTAACAAGTTGACGACAACAACAAGCTTACAAGCTCGCAACAACTTGTCACGAACAGCCTGTATTAGTCTTGTTGGAACAACTTGTAGCACGTTTGTTACCGTCATCGACCTTGTAGCAAAGGTGACTTGCTTTAGACTTGTTTTTAAAGTCGAATTTTATGTTGAATTTGATATTTTCGAAGCAAAATTCCTATAATAGCGGGAAAAGAGTCCTTACAGGAATTTTATACCTTAGCAGTCCAGTATATGGTTTTATGAGGGCGCTTTCATAGAAGTGTGTATATAGACCAGTGCACGCACCACGCGCGTTTTTGCGTGAATCGACAATAACAAAATCTTGGAAAACGTGCAACTTTGGGACATGAAGACGTTGAAATATGCGATTTGTACACATTTTATGAGTCCGATCTGTTTTTAGAAAAGCTGTACATAATAAGAAGTTCTCATTTAAGCATTCGAAGGAAGGTCAAGTGTTTTGTAAACAGTTAAAGCGTTTAAAACGTTGGTATTGATCGTGATTAGACCGTCCCACGTGCGTCTCAAATAGGTGGGTATTATAAATATTAATACATAGTTCATAGTAAAAAGAAATAATCGTGGAAATATTGTACTTCTGGATAATTTGCAATCATTTCGGTTGCAAAGTGATAGAAAACAGCAAGTTTGAAATACAATTCAAGCACAAATATACAGTTTGTTCAATTGTTCTCGAGTCTGAGTCTGCCTAGTTTCATTGACACATTGACATATCCAAGACCCTTAGCTGGGTTTTGGCCGTGTCTCAAATCGCAACACATACGCCAACAGGAAGTGGTTGAGCTGTTGTATATACCAAGTGATGGTGTCGTCAGCAGTTCTAGCTTGAATTCAAGAAGGTTTCATCACAGAATAAACACATACAGAAATCTGACTTATTGATGTCCTCAGGGCTGTAGCTATAGACACAGTAATTGGGGATGTGTATTCATGTTCACATACCATAAAAACAATGCTTTCAAAAGAAATCCGTCAGGCAGAACACAAATATATGAATATCAGAATATGCACCCCATGAATTAGCGATCTAGCTACCATAATCATTGAAATGCTGTCACCATTTTCCCGGCCATGCAGTGTGCTTATGAGAGCTGGCATTCACCCCCCTGTAAATAGTCAAAATGGCAGATGTTCAAGGGGGTGAGTGCCTCTCATAAGCACAATGGCTAGGAACATGGTACATGCATTTTGATGACAAACCAATGCAAATCATGGCATGACAGCGGTTACGCTTTTTTGGCTGAGTCAGACTTCTGCATAGTCTATTATGTGGTTTCATGTTTGTGTTCTCAGACAAGAACGATTGTTGCCATCACTTGTAATCTGTAATGACTTAATTGACTTTGTTTGGCATACATATTGTATGATCTGGCAGACATCTTTCTTAGCCTTATTGATTAGGCGAACTAGGAGCTACTACACACCTAAAAATTATGAGCCTGTTGTTTAACAGTCCTGATTGAACAATGTTATGCTGCCCACATTGTTCACAGTTGTCAATAATATTGAACAATATCGTTGAGCCTAAATCGGGTGTAACAATACTGTTCAATATTGTTGACAACTGTGAACAATGTGGTCAGCAGAACATTGTTCAATCCTGTTTCAGGCCTGCAAATTAGTGTTGGTCATTGGACATTGTTCGGCCTAATTTTACCTTTTTTCCGATCAAAGCTTTTTATGGCCGGACATGTGACCGACTGATTTGTCAAATCTTCAATCTCAAAAAATTGTTCATTTAACACGTTTTTTATTAATGAAACCAACAAGAAAGCAATATAGGCACAGCACTTTTCCACCATTTCTCGCTGCATTAAGCTGTAAGATTTAACCATAAGTCTACATCACCTTCGTATACACATAGGCGTACCGGGCGGGGGGGGGGGGAGTTTTTTGGGCAGTCGGGCAATATTCGATCAATAGTCGGGTAATTTTGGTTTGTAATAAAAATAACTGGGACAAATTCTGTCAATTTTGTCGGAAATTAAGTCAATTTTTTGGTAAATTTTGTGTTTTTGGAAAATTTTAGTGATGTTTCGAAAAATTTTGGTATGTCCGGAAAAAATTTTTGACCCCTAAAATGGTACACTGACCGAAATTTTATAGATGGTAGAATGTATACATGGTAGAAATTAAAGTTATTTTTAACCTGAACCATGATTTACTGATGCATTAGGACTGGTAGATATATATACTAAGTTTTAGATGCATTTCACTGCCGACTAACATGACCAGGAAAAAATACAGTGTGCATTTATGCAGTTCTAATACAATGACTGAATTGACAGGACGGGAAAGGGTGCAGGAATTGTATTAAAGATCTCAATAACAACCACTGGACTGTTAGAACTGTTATTGTAGTCTTTAACCGGACCCTTGCTCGCTTTCGATAATGAGTTCACAAAGATCAGGGTTGACGATTAGAATTTGGATTATGGCTGGGGTTAGGATTGCGCAGATTAGTTTATAAAGTCAGAATTCAGAACTTTTTGGAGACAGAGGTTTTTAAGACTGAAATTTTATACGCCATGATGTTTGTGATGTTACTCTGAGTGTATATCCACACCGGGCAGGCTGAAAAGTTTGCCTGACCATGATGGGAATCGAACCCGCGACCTTTGGGATACTAGTCCAATGTGGTCAGACAAACTTTTCAGCCTGCCCGGTGTGGATACACACTCAGAGTAACATCACAAACATCATATTCACCTGAGGACAACATAACATCGAATACACACAAAAAATACCATGTTTATAGGCCATGTTTATAAACGAGACAACTTTTTCTTGTACACTATAGAAGCCAGGTATTTGATTGACCATTTAGTAAAGTACCAAGTCAATATGTCAATCATTCTGTAAATATCTAGTTGCCTATTTCTACAGACTGTAATGGACAAAACATGACATAAATTTCTGCAATGGTTTATAGCAAAGGGAGAAATATGTATGAGCTTGACTTTTTTTATGAAATTTTTTGCTCGCTATTCATGATTGACTTGCAAAATCTTTCCTTGAAAAAACATGTCCAATGTTTAAGCGTTTCAATGTGGTGTTTCACAATGTTTTAAACCTGGGCCCTTCATTGTTTATAAAAACTGCACTAATATTATTATCATATGACTAAATAAAACACATCCATCAAAAGATGATACTCTGCTAAAATGATATTATAAATTGAAGTATATGTTAATAAGATCGATACATTACTTGTCTAATATTGACTTGAATATGATTCTATATTAAGATATATGTTTAATTGTTAAATTGATAAAATCCCAGTTCATGACATTTATCAAAACGGAAGATTGTTAACTTTTCAAGATCCGATCGTCTGTTTTGTTTTTGAACTTCGCTTTGTGGGGTTAGTTCGTGCTGTCAGGATCTTGGTTTTCAGTTAAATAATTCAGTTTCAAGCTGAAAAGCTAAGACGTTGATGTACTTACAACAATGTGATCTTGTTGCGCACTTTAACAGCAACTGCTCCGCATGGATGACCTTTCATATCTATTTCCAACTTATATTGTTCTGGATCTCGCTTACTAAAAAACACTGAATTCTCCAGTTCACCTGTTTCAGAGTAACTGAGCAAGAACCAGGAATCTTGTTTGTTAACATAAGTTAAAACAATTATTTTACAAATGCCATCATGAAATGCCACCTGCACGACTTTATGACCTTCTGGTACTTTTATTGTGGATTTTAAGTTACCTTCTGTTGAGTATATTTGAACAGCTCTGCCATCATCTGATACTGTCAAGATGTCATTGTTGTTAGAAATACTTAAGCTGTGTACTAGGTCATATCCATCTCGTTTAAACTGAAATTTTAACTTTCCTGTATTTTCACAGATATATACCTCGTCATCACAATATGTGAGCATGATTACGTTTTGGTTTTTGTCAACAGCAATGTTCACGTATTGACCTAGTTCTCCACTGATGAAATCCAATACGGAGACATGCTTGATGTTGTAATTCTCGTCAAAAGCGTGCAACACAAACTCTGTCTTATAAAATATGCCACATTTATTAGGTGTCGTAAGCGCTGTTACGACGTACACATTGTCATTGCTATCAACAGCAATATCCATGCTCCGTTGTGTAACAGCGTTAATTTCTGTAGGAACGGGAAGCGTAAAATCCTTGCTTTCACCTGTGCTGTAAATAACCGTGATTTTGTCTTTATCTAGTAGAATAATTTCACCACGGCTATTCACAGCTAAGTATTTACCATAGGCCCTCCAATCAACAACCACTCGTTTCAGTTGTTGGACAAATTCTTCACTACTGGACGTCTTTGTCAGAATCTCATGTGTGTTTAGGATTGGATGAAATGTACGATCCTTCAACTCTATTTCAGGCCAGGTAAATGGGTTGGCAGATTTACTGCTATACTTGGAAGCGAAATCATATAAAGCATGATTGATGAACAAAACAGACATTATGTTTTCTAAACGTTCAGCTTTCTTCAGCATTGATTTCAGTCCTCCCTTGAGAAAAACTGCGAACATTTCTTGGATTTCTGGTAAACCATGTAGCTCTTCGAGTGTCAACAAGCAGGCAGTAATTGCGACTTCCGGGTCTTCAAGACCTGATTCAAGAATACTGGCTGCCACACGTAACTTGCAAGCCATAATTCGATCTTTGATGCTCAGAGATTTGTTGTTGAACGCATGTGTGGCTGCCTCGCGAGATTTGTTGAAACAATCTTGAGCATCAGCGAACCGCTTATCGGGCGAGATTTTTAATCGTTGAATCGCTTGAGGAAGTGATAAGGCTGCGTTCAAAATACCAGATTCGGTATCATTCATAACTCGTGTTGCTTCGTTTGCTGGACCCTCGCTCGCTTTCTGATCTTCATTCCACTTATCAAGAGCAAGATTTAACACTCTTACTCCTTCTCTTAGGAAAGTATAACTGGCACCGAGATCTTTCAACGAGATACAATCAAGTTTTGACTTGATGTCGTTCAAATCTCGAACAATCATTTGACGCAATTTTTCATTCGCTACATCTCCGTCCTTGAGTTTATTTGTTAAATGGTCGTAAACTTTGCCAGCCACTAAGCCCACCGTAGATGATAGAATATCTATGCCGGCAGAAATTAATGCTTTTTCGAGAGCCATATTACAAACCGTTTATAGAAATTGGCAGTTTCGCTTGTAGGAATGCATTCATCTGAATGATTTGTTTGGGTTAGGTAATATTTATATCACTGCGTCACATTGAAATCCCTGCACTTTCGATACAAAAGCTGAATTGAAAAGAGCAATGGGGGTTGAAACTATATTTAACATTTCAATGGCAATTATCAAACAAACTTGCTGTTGTGTTATTATGAAACATTTAGAATTGATAGCAAAGTTCAATAACTATGTCGCTTTATGCTTATTTTGGCAGCTAGAAAATGTTTAAGTTTAATTTGACAGCTAGAAAATGTTAGTGGTCGATGATATAAGAAATTATTTGTGGTTAAAGACAAAATACTAAGAAGTTAATAGTTTCGGTTATTTAAAGGAATGCAGTTGGTTGAATGGTTTTATTTAAATAAGGTTAGATTCAATTTAAGTCAAAGCTGGAGACTTGAGATTCTCTGCTTTTCTGTTACAATGATTGAATTGAGCTAATTTTCCAAACAAAATATGAAAATTTTTACTTTGTCCATTGTCCATGGGAAAAATTGATAAATGTCCGACTAATTTTTGGCTTGGCCAGACATTTGTCCTTCCAAGTAAAATAATTATTTGCAGGCCGACGGTACCCCAGAAATGGCGGGTAAATCAAGCGTGAGAAGAACTAATTCATTCTTCATGTTTTTCTACTTTCAGAATCCGCCTTCCCAGGACTTTTTACCGCAGGTACAATGTACAGTATAAGACTATCATTATTCATTAGCTTAATGCATCAACGTCGCATTCATGAGCTGAAATTTTGTGTATTTATTATACTTATTCAGCAATGGCGAAACGTATCTGGTCTGAGGATAGGTCTATGATAGTTTTAGACACAGCCTGGCGTTCTAAAAAGGTACAACAGCTTGTATGACATAAACTCCTGTGGTTTGTATTCTCAACTAACTGAAACCCTTACGTCAGGAGATTAATAGCGAGGGGCTTTTTCTCGTAATGGCAACATAGTTATAGACAGAGCCTGAATATAATAATGTAGCTACACACGTAAAAACAAACAAGTTGTAACAAACCTGCAGCAGACTTGTAGCAATGCTGTTCCAACAACTTGTCAACAGGATGTGTTCGCACTGCTTGTTCCCAGCTTGTTGACAAGTTGTCAGCGGTTTGTTGCAACTTGCTACAAAGTTGTTGAGCTCAACAGATTTGTTACATGTTGTTCTAACAACTTGTTATCGTTCTGCAAACTAAATTTTGATCTCAACAAGTCTAGACAAAAATTTCATCACAGCTTGAAAGAGCATCACAAAATTAGTAATATTCCAAAGTTTCGTTGCGAAATGTTGTAAAATGTGGATAATATAGCCTTGCGAAGTTTGCCGTTTTTCAGTCATTTTGTATTACAAACGGGAAATTGACAGCCCCAAAGGGTATGTCAATTTCCCCCGCGTAATGCAAAATGACTGAAAAACGGATTTTACGGATTTTCGCAACGAAACTTTGGAATATTACTAATTTTGTGATGCTTTTTTAAGCTGTGATGAAATTTTTGTCTAGACTTGTTGAGATCAAAATTCAGTCTATTACGCAAGTGGTCTATTTGTCAATAAGTTGTGAGTGACAACCTTGTAGCAACTTGATAAAATAACAGCATTGTTACAATTTGTTGACAAGCTTGTTGCGAACACATCTTGTTGACAAGTTGTAAGATTTTTACGTGTCTATATGCACACGTAAAAATCTCACAATTTGTCAACAAGATGCATTCGCAACAGGCTTGTCAACAAATTGTAACAATGCTGTTATTACATCAAGTTGCTACAAGGTTGTCACTCACAACTTGTTGACAAGTTGTTGAATTGCTGGACGATAACAAGCTGGAACAGCTTGTAACAAGTTTGTAGATATTTTAGTTAACCCTTTGACGTTCAAGCGTTTCCTTTGACCAGTATAAAATAAAAATCGTCGAGCATTAGACCGAGGAATGTTTATACTTTTGTTCGATTTTTAGGACATTATTGTCATTGATAGCGATACTGGAAATGTGCACAGAGTAACTACTGGTAAATATAATTAAAAATATGATTTATTAATGATATTATAAAGCTCGATAAAAATATTTTTATTCTCCGTTAGGAAATGGATGTTGGTCTCTTCTTGATGTCCATAAAGATTGTGTTCTTGCTTCTCATGCGTCTCCAGCCTGTCCACCAAAGTTGGTATGTAATATTTCATATTTGACTATGAGGACTGGACTAGATTTCAAGTACGCGCAATTTGAATTCCGAGGCGAATCCGAGGACTGGGTCAAAATTGGAGGACTTGAAATCTAATCCAGTCAGAATTGGAGGATTTGAAATGACATCTCGTACGAATATATCACTACTTAAAGTAAGGTGAATTAATTTTGATCCAGTCCTAGGACTGCATTAATTTGGATCCAGTCCTAGGACTGCATCAACATACTTCACCAGTTATCCAGTGTTATCATGTGGGCAAAATAAATCACTATGGTTGGCAAATTTACTCATGAATTGTGAATGAGTTTGAGATGTGTGTTTGAACCATCTTTTGTATGTTTCCATCAACAATATATAATACACATTACAAAAATCTCGCATCTTGTAGCAAGTCTGCCAACAAGTAGTCAACAAGTTGTGTTCGCACTGCTTGTCCCAAGTAGGGAACAACTTGTTAACCTGATATTATCAGACTTGTAGCAAGGTTGTTCCAACAAGTCTGATACAGTCATGATATAACAATATTGTACAAGTTCTTTAAACTGCTTGTAACAAGCTTGTTGATATTATCAGACTTGTAGCAAGGTTGTTCCAACAAGTCTGATACAGTCATGATATAACAATATTGTACAAGTTCTTTGAACAGCTTGTAACAAGCTTGTTGATATTATCAGACTTGTAGCAAGGTTGTTCCAACAAGTCTGATACAGTCATGATATGACAATATTGTACACGCGTAAAAACGCACAGCTTGTAACAAGTCTGCAAACAAGTTGTTACAAGTCTGTTCACAAGCTGTCAACAAGTTGTGTTCGAACTGCTTGTTGCAAGTTGTTGTAACAAGATTGGAACAAGCTGTTAACAACTTGTGACAAGCTTGATGGCATTATCAGCCTTGTTACAAGATTGTGCCAACAAGTTTGTTACAGCCATGATATAACAAGGATGTTACAAGGTTGTCAACACAAGGTTGTAACAATCTTGTTACATCAAGCATGTAACGGACTTGTCAGAACAACCTTGCAACAAGTCTGATAATTTCGACAAGGTTGTTACAAGTTGTCAACAAGTTGTTCCAAACCTGTTGACAACTTGTGACAAGCAGTGCGAATACATCTTGTTAAC